CACAAAGCGGAGAGGCATACGCCAAGAGCTTTGAAACAGACTGGGATGATGCAAAAGCAAGATTGAGGCTTGCAGGGGGTGGGGCAAAGCATAGGTGAGGATGCATGTATGAGTGCTTCTTCAGTAAAATGTAGATGTACCCAAGCCCCGAAGGAGGGCCTATCACTTTTTTTCTCCCTAACAGTATTGACCTCTAACTCTCAAAGGTCACAGATGATCTTCTGACTTGTTCAATATCAACTCGGGGTACTGCACCCACACCTAGTAGTGAAGGAGGCCTTGGTAGTTTATCTTTTACTTTTAACAACCAATTCAATCAGAGAAAGGGAAATCTTGCTAAACAGGACTTTTTAATGGCTCTTAAGGACTGCACATTTCCCTTTATGGGTACTTATAAAATATTGTCTTATCATCTCGCAAGAAGCAAAAAAAGGGCACAGTCCTGTCTCCCCCAAGACCGGCCTCAGGCTCCTCTGATGTGGCCCCTGAATCTGGAAGTCCCGCCCCACTCCCACGGGGCCTATTCTGAGGCTCCCTCCAAGGCAGAGCTAGCAGGAGGGGCTTCCCTGAATTACTGATACCTGGGGCTTTCCTCTCCCTGGAGAGAAGTTACCAGACTATTTAGAGAACATTCTCCCTTCCCATGAGCCCAGCCAAGAAATGCAGAAGCAGGATGCAGGGCACTCCCCGAGGCAGAGGGGTTCAGAAAGCCCCCTTCATTAAGAGGAGCCAGGTCTCTGCAGGTGAAGCAGTACCCATTCACCTGCCGGGAATTGACCTTGACACTTAGAGGAAAAGAAGAAAAACACTTCAACCCAACCCAAATCACTGACTCTTTTCCACAGAATCGTCATGTCAGGTATCAGCGAAGTTTACCATTCATTTTCTTGCTCATCTTGTTGTTGAATTTGTTTGTTTTTTTTATCCTTGCACACTACTTTTCTGATCGAGTTCTTCTCATGTTAGCATTTGCTTCCTTTTTCTTTGTACATTGCGGTGGGGGAAAAATCATGGTGGTTTTTCACGGTGGAGTTAAAAATGCTAGCACTCAAAGTAAGAGCTGGGTTATTTTAAAAGGAACACTCGTGACTGTTTATATATTTTTAAATAGCTAAGGAAAAGAAACTGGGGAGAAAATAGACTCTCACAATTCACAGAGGAAAACAGAAAATTATCCAACCCCCAACTCCATCCCGAGAGTGGAATCATCCAGATTGGCTGTCGTTCTTGGAGAAATGGGGTAATTAATGGTCCGGTGGAGACGGTGCTCTGCAGACACAGGAGAGAGATGGAGAGGTTTCACTGCACAAGTCAGGGCTGGGAGGTGTTTTCCAACCTGAGCATCCAGAGCAAATGTGTCCTTACCACTGCTGGGCCGGTGGAGCCAGCGGCTCTCCTGTGCTCCAACCCAGCCAGGAGAGCACAGCCCTGCAGCTGAGCAGCCCTCCACACCCTCCATATCTGTTTCCAGGTTTTCACTTGCCTTCATCACTGTCACCTGCTTCCTCACCTCCCATCCCAAAGTGGTCCCTTGGCTGCTTCTTGCTTTTCCATCTCCTTTTTGATTGGAAATTTATGGGAAAAAAAGCATGAAAATATTCTACTGGGTGGACAGGCCATTTTAAGTCATTTTTTCCTCGTCATGAAGATTAAAAAGTAGTAATATGGAAATCACTAGCCGCTCTGCATTCATTTCCCTACATTTTCTCCTCTTATTGATTACACTTTGACAACAAACATTAAACAGGAAAAAAAATAGAAAAACCGTGAGAGGTGGAGAGGGAGCAGGAGCAGAGGGGGAACCCGCTTCCTTCACCCCAGACCCTGAGCAGAGGGCAGCTGTTTGTGGGTGTCTCTGACTCCCTAGGAATGGCCAGACCAATGACCTCTAGGAGTCCCTCACCTCTCCCTGTTCCAGGAAGCCCCAGTTCTTGGAAAGTCAAAATGTATGTTCTTGAGGCACCTTCATGGGAAGTAAAAGCCTCCCAGACGTATAATAATGAATTTTCTCTTTATAAATATCAATAATTGGGCTTGAAACTATGCAGAAAGTCTTCTTCCTTCGCAGGAACTTTAAACACACACTCTGGCCACCCAGCAACCACTGGTGTCATGGATCCTTCTGAATACAATCTCTCTTGCACACACACACACATACATACACACACACACACACTCTTTACCCAACTGAGTCACATCCTCTGAGGTCAAGGGCAGCAGCATGGCCATCACAAGGAGCTCATTGGAAACACAGAATCCAGCCCCACCTAGACCTCCACCCCGGGGTCTGCGTCTGTCAAGATTCCCAGGTGACTCTTGCATGGTAGTCTGCAAAGCTGAAGGAGAACTTCAGGGTCAAATCCACAAAGGAGCTAGTTTCTATCAGAAAGATGGGGGATAGCAAAAAAGCCATATTTGATTGCAAGATGTTTGAAATGCACATTGAAATCAGGTCCATGCTATAGCTTCTTAAATCCCACCCCCCTCTTCCAAAGAAGATCATTCGGAGAGCGAGTTCAATGCTGTAGCTCCCAAGCTCTGAATGCAAGCAGGTGTCACAAGCCCTCAACACCTCTCACCATCGTTAGGTCTACCAGTCTGGGGACCTCACCGTGCCCAGTGGCCACCACCATCCACAGGATAAGTGGTCTACCTGGGGAAGGTGGATCCCTAATGTCCAGCACCTCATCAGAGGCAAGGTGGGAGTGCCATTACCCTTCAACCACTCCACGTGAAACATCCAGGAAAAGGGAGTGTCGCCACCTCTGCACACCAGGTACCTCACAGTCAGTACCCATGGTAAGGGTAATTTGTCACTCTTAGACGAAAATGTTGATGTCAAAATTTAAAGCAGTAACTAGCTAAAAGTGGAGCCTAAAAGAAAACATGACGTTATCCAGGTGGCCAGAAACCCGAAGTAGGAAACAAGCTTAATGGGGGGGGGGGGGTAGGAGAAGAACATAATAGAAGATAACTAGATAATGAAAGTCCAGCCAAACCTGGGACCCAAGGTCCCCCAGAAGCAATCAGGGATCAGTGAGATCCTACATACAAGCTCTTGGTTTCCTTCAGCTTTGTTTGGTGGGTTTCGGTCAGGAGGAAACTGCTAGCTGCAGACAATCTCTAGCATTTGTTGATCAATAGATCAAGGAACAGTCAAAAGAGATAGGAGCCGTCTAGGAAGGGAGGGCACTGGCATTGATGAATGCAGACAGGGCCAATGCAAATACTCTGCTCAATTAGCATTTTTGTGGACCTAGCGATTTCTGAAAACAGTTTTCAGGTCATAGAATACGCAGTGAGCGTCTGCCTTCCTGCAAGAAATACCTCAGACGTCTCCACTCCTGCTCCACAGCCTATCCCGCTCCATCTCAGCCTCCTCCCTTCCGCATGCCACTCGGAAGATCCTCCTGGGGACTGACTTGCTGCGGTGCTGAGTTAAGGCTTCCAATTTTAGTCATGGTGGTAGGCCCTTTGTGGCACTCCTACTGTGTTCCGGGCACTTCACGGGTCTCATTTAATCCTCGCAACCAACTATTTCTTATTTACACATAAAATAACTTAAAGCTCAGAGATGTGAAAACACCTGTCACAGGCAAATGAAGTGTGCAGGACTTCAGCCTGTGTTGGTCCAAAATCGACACCCTTCTAGTGACATTGCCCCACCCGTTTCTTTTGCTCTCTCCCATCAGCCTTACTTTTCTGGCCCGTGGGTTTGGGGGGCTCCCCTTCCTAGAACCTGGCTTCGGACAGCACCTTGCTCTGACCTCATCTCTCCACTTAGAACCCACGATGGCAGGCACCTCCCGCGTGGCGTAGATGGGGCCCCAGTGCCTTTACAAACGGACTTTATCTTGAAGGTTCAAACGGATGTTGTCTTCCAAAATATATACAATAGAAGTAGGAGTTAAAGTTGAGCCCTTTGCCAAAGTTCTTCTATATTCAGAAGAACTAAGAGAAATAAGAACAAGACCAAAAGATACCCGGGGGGCTCGTCTGTGAAAGGCATTGCCACGTTGCTCTCCCTGGGTCATTGTCTCTCTGTGTCCCTTCTCAGGTACCCATAGGTGCTTCCTATTCTCCTGAGTCATTTAGTCAATACAATGGCTACTACCAAAGGCCCTCCAGCACGGCCAGCCCAGTTGTGAAGTACAGGCACAAACTGAGTAGAGAGACCCACGTTAGAGCAGGTGCATGGCCAGAGGACGCCACTCCCACTTAGGGGAAAGCCCCCTTTCCTGCCTCTCTGTGTGACACTGGGCGTTTTCATATTAAACATCAAAATTATTGACTGAAAGCCCTCTGAGGATACCTGGGATCGAGGCCCCATCGCCACTCTCCAGATAACTCCCTGGGGAGGGTGACTGACGGATGGCTATTTTGACTTGGAGATAAGTCACAATCACACCAGGTGTGCCTGCTCTTGTCTCTTGGGACCAGCCCTCACTGTCACTGGCTACAGAACTCTCCCTCCCCCTTTGCTTTCATTGACTACAAACCGGGAAACTGAGCCAAGTCTCCACAGGAGACCTGTGTGGCCACAGTTCCTCCTCAAAGGAAGCCCACGCCCTCCTGTCTCTGGTGTTGAGAGCCGGGCAGAATTGTTCCCCGAAGTCTTCACCTTGAAGACCCTGGTCTTCATCCTCGCCACTGTTCTTCACAGGGCGAGTGACCCTGCAATATTCTAGGGCATCTTTTCCACCTAACTTCCTAACAGTAAGTCCTTCTGAAAGAAGAGTTTACTGAGTTCATTGATTCTCTTGGCAAGCTTGTAACACTTGGCTTTGAACAGATTAAACCCAGTAAAGATTTCCAATACCAAATTGGAGGACATTACCTGAAAATTCTAAAAGGTTTTCTTAAACTCCAGGAAAAAAGAATCAAGAGGAAAGAAGGAAGGAAGGAAGGAAAAAGGGGAGGGAGGGAGTAAAAGAGGGAGGGAGGGAAATGAATTATATAGAATACATATTTTTAGATCTGAAAGGACAAAACAATTCAACTAACATATATTAACCTTTATTCTATAACAGACATAAATAATTTTATGAATTCATATGGCCTATACAAAAGACAAAATAAAATATTGCACTAAATTTAGATGTGGGATATTTGGATTTACAATTAGCTAAACAGATAAATATATACAATTTAAGGAGTTAAGGCAAAACCAGATGATACTTCAAACACAACAGAAGGTTTGAAAAATAGGTGTGATTAAAAACAAGGGCATCCCATCTCCAGTTAATAAAGCCATCATGTCTAAGGAAAAAAAATCCCTTAGGTTTTTAATAAAGTAGTTATTATCAATCATGTTAATTAAAGTTGAGTAATAAAGAATAAGAGTTCCCACAGAGGAGAGCTGTTTTACCAAGGTTTGGGGACCCAGCACTTAGAATTTGGGTAAGCAACTTTTTCCTTGTCAGATTTATGATCTATTTTTCCTATTAGAAAATATAATTTGGAAAATATGACTCTTTCACATATATAATTAAAATACAATTATGAAGCATTCTTTTCTTTTTTCTTTTCTCTCTTTTCTCATTGAAGGAAGCCATACAGGTGATCTCATAGCCAAGGTAAGTTTCCAGGCAAGCCATCTATTACCTTCTTTATGGAAAAAACACAAAACCAGTCACTAAAACCCATTCCCAGTTTCCTTAAGAAAACAGAACAAACGAATTCCAAAGGAATTAAAAAAAAAACAAGCATAATCAATATATCCACACAGAATACAGTTCTTTGGCAGCATCACATGAACCATTGATTGAAGCCAGAACTTTTAGAGTGTTCTAATTCCTAGACCCGGTTGCCAGTCTTTAAAAATAAATAAATAAAAATTCGCATCTGCAATGAATTCAGTAATTCCAGGAAATTAAATTCAAAACAAATCTTGAGACAGCTTTTGACTGTTACAGGTAAGCATAGATAAGCATGATCTGCTTTGAGTCCCGATCCAAATATACTCAAACACACACACACACATGAAAATAATCTGAAATTTTGTATTGGTTCGGACAGGTCTAGAATCCTTAAAGAGAATCCATATTCACCCATGAGAAACCAATAAAAGACACGAATCCAGTGATGAAAAATGATCTTCCAATAACTCAGGGGTGGGCTGCCCCTCACCTGGATAAACGGAGAAGTCAGATTCTATAGGGGGAACACCAGAAAGCCGGAGAATGTGGAATACTGCCAGCCTCCAACCAAGTTACCTTTCTCCAGTTTTAGGTAAACCTTGTCCTCTTTGTCCAGGTAGAGCAGGACTCCATTCGTGGCAGCTTCACGAGTGACATCTTTGTCCCCAGCAAATGCAGATATTACTGGTTTTCCATTTAACATCAAGTTCACCTATGAAGAAAAAAAAAAATCACTACGGAGCTCTCTTTAAAGTTAAGAGGGAATGAAATGACCCACTGTGAAATATCCAGGAAACATATCCCCCCTCTTTCAAATTAGTCGACTGTGGGGTCAGATTAAGTATCTACTGAGTTGATTTTTTTTTTTTATTTCTCTCACAGAAATTTCCTTACATTCCTACACACACACACACACACACACACACACACACACACAAACAATACCACCAGAGAGCGACCTTGTGAAAGTGCTGTGAACATGGGCTTCTCAGCATTCCCACTAAGGTTACTCCTGTCCTTACCCTCCATAGACCCTCTAGGATGAAGAGGGCGGGGCTTGGAGCTGGCCAGTGCTCTTTGACCTGAGAGACCAGGTGCAGCCAGAGTCTAGTAATTCCTTTGCAGGTTTCCACCAAATACAACCTGCACAGCTCTGAAAATCATTTGAAATAACAGAGTGCGTGTACATGAGTGTGCCTGTGAGTGTTTTCTTCTATTTTCCCTCATAAGAAAAGTGGGCTAAAAATAATCACCACTGCCAATAAAAGAAAGCTTAATGATGGATAATTAGCAAAAGAATGAATTCAGACTTGTATTAACTTTTTTCCCCCCATACTGTGATTTTGATTGTGTGTCAAACATTACATAGATTTCTAAATATTGGAGCTTGGAAAAAGTTTTCCCATGAAAGTAAATTTGCTTACTAGATAGTCAGTCCTTTTAGTTTAGAAGTAATATTAAGTGAATTAAATCCGAGACTGACCAAGTTAGCCATTCTCTAGGCAGGATAAGTAGATGAAGTGTAATCTACCATTCCTATGGTGATAATAGATTAAGTAGCTATCAAGCATAAGATAAAATGTTACCCTAGAATTCCATTAAAATGTGTTCTTGTTATTTGTCATTAGAATATTTCAATATCACAGGAAAATAGCTCCATTGCTGTTTTTGAGTGGGAGGGCAAGCCCATTATCTAGAACAACACAGGCCTACTGTCAATCATGTACCCGCAACGGGTAAGAATTCACTACCACCAAAGTAACAGGGTAAACCAAAGCGTAAGTGCAACATTTCATTTAAAAAGAATACCTAATTGCTGTCTTCCACAAGTTTATGTGGATAGTTAACTGTATCTCATAATTTTCTAAACGAGAACAAATTTGTTTTATTTACTTAAAATGAACTTGCAAAGCTCTGCTGGTTTTCTAAGTTTTTTCATTACAACTTCAAATAATTTTTACATGCACCAAATGAAATCAAGATCTTAGAAAGAGATCTGTGTCACTAAATTTTCACCAAACCATGTTTTTTTAAAAATATTTGGATATCAATTAGGTAATAGCTTTGCTTTTCTGTGTGCTTTTGTTACATGCCTCAATAGGCATTGTATATAAGGAAGAAAATTGGAAATGAAGTGTTTTAAAAACAAACTATAAATATGGCTGTTTATTTTTATGATGAAAACACATCTTTGAATAAATACTTAAAAACATAACCCACTAGAGATAAACACAGTTGTTTAGGGAGACAGAGAGAATGGGTCAGAACACATACCTGGATCGTTTGGCTCTGGTAGACTTTAATTACGTGAAAACTGAAACTGTAAATTCCTTTCCTTGGTGCTACAAAGACAGACTCCAATGTGAAAAAATTACCCACATTAACTAGGATCTACAAACAAAAATAATAAATAACAGTAAATTATTATAATACTTTTTTCTATAAGGAAAATATATTTCCTTCCTCCCTTCCTGCCTTTTATCTTTCCTTCCTTCCCTCCTTCTTCCTTCCTCAACAACTAACTTCAGTAACCACAGAGCATAAAACATCTTTCCCCTTAAGAGACTTGGACCACACACTTGTGTATTGGAAGGCTCCTCTTTCTTTTAAACAGAACAGGAAAAAAAAAATAAAGTAAATGTATTGTATTCGTGCCTCAATTTCCAGCAGGGTTCAAAGATTCTGGAAACATCTGAGAAACATGTGAGGGCTTAAAGTATTAACTTTACTCTGAGAATCAGATAAAGGGCATCTGCCATGGAGGTACATTCCCACCATCCACAAGTCTTTGCAATATCCAGAAATGACGTTGCCAAGCCAGCCAATCGACATCCATGGTCTCTCCGCAGTCATCCCTGGACATATCACACAGAGCCATGGGTACCCCTCCTCTGTGTGACATAATCCTTGACACTGAACAGTTGGTGCACAAAGTGATATGAATGCCTGGCCCTTCCCTGAGCCTGTACCGGAGCTCTCCTAAGATCCATGGCCATTTTATTTTTTCATGTCGGTGCCGTCTAAACCTGAATTATAATATTTTGGCAATGAGTCAGCCCTTCTCGGGTGCCAAAGAATAGAGAGTGAATGAGGCACAGTGAGATAGGTGGCCTTTCTGTGTTCCTCTCAGTGTCACTCCTTATCCTCCTATCAATCATCTGCTCTTTATTTAAAGTCCCCAAAAAATGAAAAATGAAAAGTGGAACAAGGCTCTGTTTTGAAGAGGGCAGCAGTGGGCTTTGTAGCCCAGGATGTTCAGCATGGTTCTTCTGGTTAGAACATTAACTCTGAATTTCCATAAGTGACCTCATAAGCTAGGTTTGCAATGCCACATAGGTCAGTGGCTTCCTAAGAGAAGGCGGGGGGGGGCAGTAAAATAACAAGGGTTTCTTCACGTCTCTCCAAGACATAAATCTGTAAGTGGCATTCAAAAAAATCAGAAATCCCTATAAAGATACATTTTCTAAGTATCAGTGGCAATATGCTACAATCTCTTTTAAAGGCTGCCTTCTTGTCAAAATTAATACATTTTCATGCCTCTTGCATAATTTCCTAAAAATGCACTTCTGGCTCTAAGCAACAGTGCCATGACCGTCAGGCAGGTGTACCAGGCTCAACGCCTGCCTTAACATACATGTAAGTGTGTGATTTTATTGAGATTCCACCTTCTTCCCAGTAAGCATCAAATTTCTTCTCTCTGACCTGATGATGGATGATCTTTCAACAAGTCACCTGCTGTGCAATAATCCCCAGCAGAGGCTGCACAAAGAATTTTTTTTTCAAGCACATTTAAAATAATTTCAGGTGCTTAGGAGGGACTTCCTGGCTCAGATATAAGTAGTATAATTCATTAGCAATAATGGAAAGAGCAGATTAGTGTTGACTACACGTAAAGCAGGGTGTTGACTCTACGTGGTAATTGGAGTATCCAGGCACATCAAATTTATAACTAAATGAGTCTTGTTGTCTCCAAGATGTGTGGCTCCCTGCACAGAAGAGCAAACCCTTCTCCTCTTCTAATTGACAGGAAGGTCATTGAAAAGCACACTCCATTCAGAGGGTAGCAGGATGCCCACAGTATTCCAACATTTAATTAATGCATCAAAATTCAAACCAGCAATGGTGCTCCACTTTATTTCCATCACACTGGAAAATACAGCACCAAAACCCCCAAAGGGCTACTTAATTAGTTACAAATTATGGCTATTCCATAGTAATTCCCCAGAGAGACATACTCTGTCTTTGACCAGCTGGAGAAGGCATTACTTAGGAAAATTGAGTAGGGACCACAAATGTCACCTCTTGCCTTTCCTGGCACATCCTGCAGCACTGTTTAACCTGTGCTCCAGCACACAGTGCTTTGCATACGACTGTGAAGTGTGACTTTGGAATTTTAAGAGAGTCTGGGTACCCTTCGGGTTAAAATGAAAACTCTGGAGTCAGTTTTCTTCCGTAGGACGCTTTGCTCAAGCTGATATCCTGGGGTTTCTCATCAGGCCAAACCGCAGAGCACCAAGCGGCAAAACAAAACAGAAGCCCCAGCGTTCAGGAGTCCTGCCTCCGTCCCCTGCCTTGCACCTCACTGTCTGTCTTTGCCCAGTGATTTGCAGTTCTCTGAAAGGACTGAAGCCCAGGAAGCGGGAACCATCTCCCCAGCGCTTCCCTCGGGGAGCTCCGTGCGGATTCCCCATTCCTTTTCCTCCTTCCTGAGCAACTTTTCTCTGGGTCCGCAGGAAGGGCGTGTAGCCTACTCTAGGCAGCCACAGCTGCGCCCAGATCGTGAAAGAGGACCTCAGCCTCTCAACTGAGAAGTGAGATCTGAACCCCTCGGAGCCGTCCTCTGCGGCCACCTGCCGGATCTCTACACAGGGTATAGAGACCCGGATCTCTCTTGGGGGAGAAGCTTCTCCACCTGGAGAAACAAGTCAAACGTTTATCCGAAGTCCGCGAGGGCATCACAGAACAGCTTGTGCCATACACGCAGCGGAGTCAGCCAGAGCCAAGGGGCGAAGCTCTGCCCAAGAGATCCGCGTGTCCAGGGACCAGATTCCCCAGGCTCCCGCTGACCTGTTGCTGTTAAACTTGTCTTGTGTTCTAGAGGCCGGCCTCTGCGCTCCCAAGCCTCTCCCCCACCGCGCTGCAGCCTCTGTTAGAGACCAAGAAGGAATGAGGGCCAGGGGTGGGCCGGGGGTGTCACATCAGAAGTTTCAGGCTCCGACATATTTGGGAAAGCGGGTGTCTACATGAATCCCCACATCCCAATCAGTGGAGCTTAGCCCCACCAGGCAGCCGCTATCTGAGATGCCCTGAGATTACCCACTCAACCGCCCACCCGACTCCGGGTGCCCCGAATCCCTTGGGGTCTCACCTGATCGAAGTAAATGATGCGCGTTTTGTTGCTCATCTCCGATGGCTCGTGGTTGGTGCTCCGCACGGCTGAAAAGGCCACCTTGGAGTTGGCCGCCCGGACCGATATCCCCAGAGGGGAAGAAGAGGAGCCCTTGGAGTCCGTGGCCGGGTTCGAGTCGCACACTACCAGACACTTGCCCTCCAGGACGATGGGCTCGGTGTCGTTCTGCGCCCAGACGGGCAGCCCTGGCAGCGTGAGGGCCAGCAGAACGGCCGGCACCACGGACAGCCCCCGGCGCGCGGAGCCCATGGTGAGCGGCGTGGGCAGCGGCAGCCGGCTGGCGCTTCTGCTCGCCGGCGTCGCCTCCTACCCTGGGATCCCGGAGCTCCAAAAGATGCCAGTGGCTAGATGGACAGCGCTGCAGGAACGACGGCGGCGGCGGCGCGCACACTTCCACCAATTCTGTGGGCTGAAGTCAAAGTCTCCCCTCGAGCTCTCTCGCTGGCTCTGTTGTTACCTTTGTCCTTTAAGGAGCTCATGCAGAACCCCTACCTACCCTCCTCCGCCCAAGAATCAGCCCTGCCTGGGGCCCCTGCACCCACCCTTATTCTTCTTCCACATCTACAAGTCGCCAAGCTCTCACAATCACACCTCAATAGAAAAATAAATAAATAAATTTCAGCCCCAACCCAAGCACCCCCAGGTGAACCACGGAGCAGGAAAAACGGCGGGGACTCAGAGAAGCCGCAAGAGCGGCGGGTGCCAAGCGGTGCAGTGTAGGTCCTGTATGAGTCTGGCTTGCGCAGGGACGAATTACAGAGGCTGGAGGTGTTTCCTGGGCTGAGAAGAACGCGAGCCTGTGTTCGCAGCCAGGATGCTGGCGATTCTCGCTTTCCCTTGGTCAAAAATTCCCCGAAGCCTGGAGTCACTCCGACGTAGGTAGGCAGCGGCGAGACCGCACTGAAAGCACAATTTCCCGGGATCAGTTCCAAGGTGCAGGGCAGCTGGGCTGGCGGGGTCTCCCTTCCCCAGTCCCTGTGCACAACTTTCTCTCCTCACGCAGCCGGGAGAGCGCGAAGCGGGCACCCGCGCGCTATTTATAGGAGCACAGCGTCCAGCTGGGGTTGGCTTAAAGCTCGACCCGCCGGCTCCGGGCGAAAGGAGCAGAAGGCGTCCGGTGACCCCAGCTAAGCAGCTCCTGCCTGACGTTTAATGTACCCGGGAGCAAGCGGGACTCGCAACACTGCTGGTTGGCAAGGTCTGAGGCCACCTGCCCCCCAAGATCGCGCGGCGCTGAAGGTGTGTGCCCAGAGAGAGGCGCCCACAGCCCCACGCTTCCCCAGCTCGGCGCCGGCTTGCCCCCTCCTCAGTCTGGGCCCGCGAGGGGGGCTGTGACTCCTCTCGCCCTCCCCAGCGTGGCACTGCGTCTCTAAGCGCCCTCCGAACCGAGCGCGGCGCCGCCAGCCGGGTTGCGGAGATGGATGGGCCGCGCGGCGGATTCACGGGCGTGCTGCCCGGAACACGGGGACCCACCCGTGCCCCCACCGCGCCTGGCCGGAATTCCGTCCTGCAGAGCCCTCGGGCCTGGCGAGCTCAAGGAAGCCTGGGGACAGACCGCGGCCCGTGGGGGCGGCTAGGAGGAGGTGCCAGATTCCTTCCTTCCGCTCAGGGAAGATGCGCCTCCGAAGCCGCAGGGGCGCGCGCCTTTCCACTTGCACCGCTAATCCAGCCCTAGCAAGGCCAGAAAAAGTGAGAGGGAGGCAACTCAGCCAGAACAAGTCTTCAGAAACCGTACCCCCCCTTAAAAAATCGAAGAAAATAAAACACAGCAACTTTCTCCCGTCTTGATGTGCCTCCCTCTCCCTGTGCCGGCCCACTGCCATCTTGGCCTCTGATTGGAAAGCGTTATCTTCCTCTTCCGCGGCCACCAAGGAGAAGTGGAAGCTTGTCTCTGTCTGTGATGGACAACGTGAACTTGACCAAGTCACTGTCTTTGAGAGGGTGTAACTGCACTAAGAGTCTCTTCCACTTTCCAGGTCTATGAGCTTTGGGGACATGGCTCTCGGTACCAAATTCCATGATTTCCAGATGCCAGAGGGAAGGCACCAAGTCAAAACAACATCCCCATCCACAACATCAGCCAGGTGGAGCTCCTTGAAATGTATTGACCACTTATCAGTTGAAGAGATGTGTGTTGAGTCATTGTCCCTGGGGTGGATCACTCTCCACTCAGTTCCTAGTAAACATTCTCCTTATCATGGCATTCAGGCCGGTCCAAACAGAAGCCAGACCTGGATCTCCAGTCTTGTACCCTAATAAGGTCCTTTCTGGAGGCCAGGTTTGGGTCATAAGCACTATGCCACAATTCCAGTTGTTAAAATTGAAGACACTCCTGCTAGCTGGTCATTCCCTGGTTCCCATCTCCCTAGAATCTTGCAACTATTGATTTGATGCCTGGCACCACAGGGCCTCCAGATTCTGTTCCAGTGGGACAGTGTCAGTTTTGAGTGGCAGTTACCATGCTATTTGTTACAATGCTAAATGTCACCAATCTAAGTTGGAACCAAACAGGTAAACTGGCTGGTGCCTTTTGAAGATGGCCATCATCTGCCCATCACTGATGCCCACCCTAGACTCACACAGCTTCCCACCTGACCCCTCTCTGCACTTTGTAACTCCCTTTCAGGTTTCACCACAGGCTTCCTGGATGACATCTGAAATTGTCTTTTCATTTGATGCTGTCTTGAGAGCAGGTGCTGAATCGAATTTGGTTCCTCTTTTTCTCCTGTAGGGGTAAGCACTCTGCCTTCCCTATTCAAGACAGATATTTAGTTACTAAGCCAAGCCTTGGGCTGTTTGATGTCCAGCTGGGAGGAGTTTAAGAAAACACTCTGTTGACTATAGGATTGTTAAATATGCAATAAGCTGTCTTTTCCATCAACCCCAATATATTCTCTCTGCATCCTTTCTCCTCTAGGCATTTCCTTTCTCCAAGAACTCAGATTTTTTTTAAAAATCTCTTTCTTCTCTCCTCTTTCCCTTACTGAAAGTTTTCATTTGTAGCCCCAAAGCTAACCATGATCATATTAGGGCCTCAATAATTGAGTGAGGAATGACTGAATACATTCAAATGAAATGTAATTTATTAGTCTTTCATCTTGTTGTATAAGCTACTTTAAGTGAATCTCAGTAAAATTTAAATTCAAACCCTCCTTGGGAAGAAAGTCTTCTTTCCTTTACTGGAGGGTGTTCTGCTCTTCAAGGTAATCTCAAAGATGAGGAGCATGGTATTGTCTGTGGTCTTCCGCTAGGAGAAGCTCTCTGATACTGTGAATCATGGAGTCCTGTTCTTTTCTCCTTTCAGTTGACTGTACAGGGACAGCCTCTGGGTTCCAGGGCTGCTGATTCATTTGTACCAGACACCCATGACTTTCGTGGCCTGACTTGGCTGGATGAGTTGGGGCTGCCAGATGTTCTCTCTCTGGCATCTGAATGAGATGCCCAGTTGCTTCCAGGAGACAGTGGGTGCTAAGGAAGCCAGATCTGTGGTCTCCCAAACTGGGAGACTGCCACTGAGGAGTCACCTGGAAGCCCAAGCAGAGAAGTGTGCTGAAATAAAAGGGAAGACTGACCACACTGCAAGGCCAACGCCCAGACTGGACACTGAGCACTTTGGAGAGATAAAGGAGCAAGGACATGAATTATCCTTGGCTTCTAGCCCTGAACTCCTACTCACAAGAAATCCAGCAATATTTCTTCTAACCTCAGATCTCCTTAGATCCTTTTCTATCCTTTCAATAAACTCCATTTCACTTCAACTATTTTTAGTAACCTTCCTGCTCCTTGTCATCCAGAATCCTCCCTGGAGCAGCATTCCTGAAATCATACCACAGAAGTCCGTGCATGTCCCGACAGAAGAATGAGGAAATCCAACCCTGAATGCTTTGGGAAAGAAGTCATCACCTGCTCCCCACCCACTACTCCTGCTCCAGCCGCCCTGGAAGAAAGGAAAAAAGGATCAAGTCCAAGATTCTCTCCAGCCATAGCAAAAATCTGTTTCTTCCCCCCACCCTCTTTTTCCAGTTAAAAATGTGCTATTAGAGAAACTCTCTGTGACCCAAATGTCTCCCTGTTCTGAGGTTCACAGATTGTATTTGATGTCCAAGGATTTTTTTTCTTCTTGCTAGGCTTTAGAGGTAAGGCAAGAATGCATTTCACCTCGCCGCTATTGGGCTCAGTCTCAAAGTAAATGAGAATCTGAACTGATCTTGTGAGGTGAGCTCCACCAGCGTCAGTGAACTCAGTGACTGCTGTCCAGCAACCCTCAGGGAAGCCAAGTTTCCAGCAAGGCCAAGACAGTCAGCATCCATGAGCAATTTTCTCCTGAAGAAAACATCTCAGAAAGCAAAGACAGACACACAGCCATTCAGCTCGAGGCCTGGCTTGGAGTGAATGAAAGAAGACTCCTCCTCACCCCGTGGAGAGACAGTGCAGGTTAGTGGCATGGACAGTTGGTGGCAGGAAATGGTGGGGAACAGAGAGCAAGCAGTGAGGCTCACACCAGGGCCAGACAAAGGGCCTTGAGTCTTCACCTCTTCAAATCACCCTTCCCTCCTACAGGGACAGCTCTCACCCAAGCAAATGCTCTTCTTCGAGGGAGAATGAGAGGCTTAAGGAGGAAAAGTCTCTTAAGGAGGAAAACCTACATGGGAGCACTGGAAAGTGACCAGCTACTGAGGAAAACTTCAGGGCTCCTTTCAGAGACAGTCAAATTGCAGACATTTATAAAGACGGCGCTGTGGGGGATATTAAATGGATGATTTAAAAATCTCTTTAGTTGTTTTTAGAATTTGAAAATTGTTGGAGACAGCTCCTCTACATCGTTTCTTCCCCTCATTACATTTACCAACAGGCTCCATGACTGAGACCTCAAGGAGCAGTAAGATTTCTTGATCAAAGTTGCACATAGATCCAGTAGCAACTGCCTTTTGCCCTTTCCATAATACACAGTGCTTACCCTAGTCATCATATACCACTTTAAAAAGAAAGTTGATGATTTTTTGTTGTGCTTTCCAGGGTCTATTTTTTGTTGTATTTTTCCAGGGACTATTAACTGGGGATTATTAACACAGAATTTAGCAGAGAGTAAGAGAAAGAGTAAATAATAAATGTTGACTGAATAAAGTAGCTTACTATTGCTCTTGTTTCTCATAAGGAAAATGCATTAAATGTAACAATATAACATAAACCACTATGATATATGTATATGACAGGAAAACTAAATTCTTCCAGAAATTTGGGGGAATGTGAAAGGTTTAGTCTATCCTTTGTCATTAAGAATGGAAGCACAATGAAACAAAAAGAGAATTTGTTGGAAGGGTCTCCTCCCACAGAATCCAAGGGAAGGGCAGAGCTGAACCTGGGGATGAAAAGGAAACTTTGGGAATCACCCAAATTACTGCCTTGCTCATCTCTCTTCCTCTCTCCCCCTTCCTCACCCTGCCCTTTCTAGATGCATCTGCATTATGCTTTTGCTCTCTGCATTCTCCCTTCTTTGAAGCCCACATGATGAAAAACAGCAGCTAACTTTCCCAAATTTCACACATACAGATCCATTCACCCAGAAGATGTCCTAGAATTCTAAAGAAA